CTGACATTCCGAGGAGAAGGGTTGTGGAGTAGCCTAAGGTAAGGGTTTAGGGTTTAGGGTTCGGGTTTTGTGTGTTTAGGGTCTTAGGGTTTTGTGTTTAGGGTTTAGGGTTTAGGGGGAATGAACGCACATTAAGAATAGAAGATATGTAGAGGGTTTAGGGTTTGTGCAGGAAGAAAGGAATACAGAGAGGAGACCTCATCGCAGTGCTAAACCCTTCGCTTCTCCCCAAGAACGATGGCGGGGACTCGCGAGCAGCGGCGGTCGAGGACGAAGACCAAATCTTACAAGTACAAACCCTAAACCCTAAACCCTAAACCCTAAACCCTCGCAATGCCCCCTCTTGGAGCTACTGTTTCCTATATATCTTCCTGTCAGGGGTTTGGCGTGTTGTTCGGGCTAAACCCTAAATGCTAAACCCTAAACCTATTGAGGGGTTCGTTTGCGTGTCTCAGATCTTTTGTGAGGGTTTAGGGTTTAGGGTTTAGGGTTTGGATGTGTGAGCTCCGCAGATTGGAACAGTAAAGGGAATAGCGCGCTGCAGCGCCATGACGCGAAGGCAGACGCAGTGCCGCCAAATGGTCCATCTGTGAGGATACTCCTGCTGTTGCTGCTGCTGCAGTTGCTGTTGCTGCTGCTGCTGCTGCTGTTGCTGCTGCTGCTGCTTCTGCGACCGCTGCTGCGACCGTTGCTGGTATCGGTGCTGCTATCGCTGCTGCTGCTGCTGTTGCTGCTGCTGCTGCTGCTGCTGCTGCAGGCCAAGCATGGGGGAGTACTGCCGCTTTCATGTGAACGTGAAGGATATGCAGAAGCCAAAGGGAGCAAATGCAGCATCTGTTGTAAACTCAATCAACGAGCTGCTAGACAGCTCAGACAAAGAGAGACGCACGGCGATACTGAATACGCTGGCCCCTTCATCTGCTACTTCTGCTTCTGCTGCTGCTGCTGCTGCTGCTGCAGTTACAGCTGCGCCGCAGGCACAGACAAACACCAGTCGTCAGCAGCAGCAGCAAAAGGAGAATGTGCCAGTGCAGCAGATGCAGGCTAAGCAGCAAGCGATGAGCAGTACGTGCAGCAGTGCCTCCTCTTACTCCCAGTAGCCGTTGTCACCGCCGCATTGTTTATTGTTGCTTTACCCGGCCCAACAACTGTTGCTGCTGCTTCTGT